CCCATTTCTTTTTTAACAGTTGTATAACATTCCTTTATATGGATGGGACGCACAAAGTGTCCCCTTGAGGTGGGCACACTGCAGTCCCCCGATAATACAGACAACACAGCCGTTATCAGCAACATCCTTACACGTATGCAAACATATCTACGATAAATTCTTTGAAGTAGAGACAAAAGCTAAGAAGAAGGCACACTTTAAATGTTGACAAAAACCAAAAACACAAAACTTGTTGCCGTTCAGTTGATTCCAACTCAAAGTTGACCCTATAGGCCAGAGCAGAACTGCCACATATTGTTTCCAAGGAACGCCTGGTGGATTTGAACTGCCAACCTTTTGGTTAGTAGCCTTAGCACTTAACCACTATGTCACCAGGGTTTGTTATAACTAAATTGCCCTCTGAGGAGCTTATAGGTTTTTTTAAGACCACCACCTTCTCCCCGGCCCACTTACGTGTATTAACAAGAGAAGATGTGCTATGACGACCGTGGGGACAGGATGGAACCTGGGTCGAAAGTGAGCATGCAGGGCGTGATGTGGGAGGAGGGGGGCATCCAGAAGGGGGTCGTCTTCAATACTCTGGGTGAGATCCAAGGACCCCTGAGGTGCAGAAAAGAGAAGCAAGTTCTAATTACCACTTCTGGATCATGCTTCTAAGACAAATCTACTAAACCATCAAGATTTAAAAACCACTACACAACTTAGAGGCCAGAGAATGCATTTCCCACCTAACGCCAATTAAAAAAAAATAAACCCCCTAAACCTCTAGATAATTCTGTTGCATACAACTTGGGGAAACAACCAGTATTAAAACAGGTGGAGAACTTCCTAATTCAATTACCTTCTACTCCTCACAAACAAGGTAATCCATAATGAGATAAAATCAGGCAATTTTCTTCAAGCCCCCAAAACTTAGATACCGATTTATTTTAAATTACTTATATTTTTAATGAAATAATTACATATAGTTGTGACACTTAACCATGTCTCTGATGTTCCAAAGAATTTGGAAAGTTGGTGGAGGCTTTATTAAGCATGCCTAAAAGAAACTTTCAGCTATGATAGAAATATTCTGGAATATTAATAGAAACAGATCATGCTGATGTATCCTCAATGAGAGTTTAGTTTGTAGATACCAAATTCTCAACGAAAACAACTAGTTGTATTATCACTGAAGTGGCAGACAAAGGTTGAACAGCGGGGGCTATAACCCCAAATTTTAAAGGATGAATTTTGTTTTTGGGATTTTTTGGTGACGTCATGTTTTTTCACTGATGGAATGGATGCTGAATCATTGTTTGTCGGCAGTTTTTTATTATCTGAAAAAACGGGGTGCCAATTGCAAGCAGACCGTATTGGTCCCATGTTCTATGAAGTACATCACAAATGGGGTACATATCGGTCCCATGGCCCAGGAAGTGCATCGCAAACTGTTTTCACCCCAAAAATAACTCATTTGCTTGAATATTTCCGAATGCCAGTAATCGTACCTTCCTACTAACACAAAGGAAAGAGCAAACATACTTGCAAGCCTCATCTTGCTGTACAGAAGCCAAAACACACAAACGTTTCCCACAATCACTCCTCCGGGAAGCATCCCCTCTTACAAATGGCTTTCAACACTTAAATGAGGCTTAGACAAACTTCCTTGGGTTTTAGGCAGTTGCACCAGTATCCGCCATGATGCCAGAAATGTACTAAGGTGGCTCAAATGTCTGTCAAGTCAATAAACTTCCAAGGGCAGAAAATGTGAGTGGTAGTTATATCTACCAGTATACATGAAAAGGTATTGTCCTACCAGGAACATTACTTCCAGGTCTCTGCTACGTACAGAAGAGCCACAACAATCTCTCAGTCTTGGACCTTTCCTGAATACTACTATGTATAAAAGAAGGCTACTAAGTGCTAGGCTGTTAACCGAAAGGTTGGCAGTTCAAGCCCATCAGCCACTCCGCGGGAGAAAAGACCTGGCCATCTGCTCCCGTAAAGATTACAGCCTAGGAAACCCTTTGGGGCAGCTCTACCCTGTCCTCTAGGGTCACTGTGAGTTGGAATCAACTCCACAGCAGAAACAATAACATTATGTATAAGCTAAGGCACTGTGCCCGAGACAAAAGAACACGAGACGCAGTCCCTGTCCAAAAGGAGATTACGTTTCCATTAAGGAAGCTGGAGATAAAGGCATGAAGGACTAAAGAACAACACAAGAACGCACAATAGAATCAGATGCATGGAATACTGTGGGGAAGGATGAAATAAGTTAGCAAATGAACAGCACAAATGATGCAACAAAGTGAGAAGGTTGGCTACCTGCACGGGAACGAGATGGACGTGGAAACTTCATGGGAAGGGAAGCCTGGGAATAGCCCTGGATACAGAGGATAAGAGCTCTTTACTTTGGAAGGGGTAGGGACGGATGCAGGCACAAGGATTACACAGCTAAATACAGTGATCCGGGCATGATCCAGATCTGGGGTGGGTTCCTCGATTTCCACCCTCAGGTATTCAGCACTGCTCTACAACTCTCCTTATTCAACGCCTCAATAACGCAAAACCAAACCGGCTGCTGTGGAGTTGATTACAACTCATGAAGACCACATGTGTGTAGAGCAGAACTGTTCCATAGGGTTTTCAAGCCTGTAACCTTTCAGAAGCAGATCACCAGACCTTTCGTCCGAGGAGCCTCTGGGTAGGTTTCAAACAGCCAACCTTTGGGTTAACAGTCAAGTGATTAACTGTACCACCCAGGGACTCCAATCCCTAGACAATTTCCTTCTCACACCATGGTACTATTGACTATCTGTTCTCAAGACTCTTCTGCCTCAAGCTCCTTCTCAGTCAGCAGATGTGCCAGTCTCCACAGCTCTTCCTTTAGCTAATGTCCGTGCACCCTTCTAGGCCCAGCTGAATATCCCCACCACCTAGCCTTCCTGGAAACTCCAGATCTGGATCTCGTCCACAGATGCAGGCGCAGAAGCAGAAAATACAAATGGAGGGAGACAGATGTCATGCGTTCCAAAGCATTCTGTGCTCACCGCCTCATTCACACCGGACTTGGGTGGTTCTCTTACTAGTGGGGTACCTGTCTTCCCAACTAGACCTCATTAGACGCACTAGCTCCCCACCTCTTGCCTTTGTAATCCTAGCACCCAACAGTGTCTCACGACCGGCACTCGGTGAACACTTGCTGAAAGAATGAATGCCCCAAACCTGTTCTCCCAGTTCCCTAACTCAGCAATGGGCATCACCAAAGCCTTGGGCTAAAATCTGAGAATCATCTCTGACCAGAGGGAGCAAGCACAGTAGTTCAGGGCCACTCCAAAGACGGAAAGCTGGTTCAAAGACATGCTCTACTGCTTATTAGCTGTGGGCAAGTTACTTTACCTCTCTGTGCCTCAGTTTCCTCTTTTAACAAAGAGAAAAATGGTAGAAATCGTATCTATAAAATACCAAAAGCAGTCAACTTGCTCAGCTGTAGAGTAATTTAGCTACATAATTAATCTCCAATTGTTTGGTGAAAACAGATTTCTAGGGTTACTCATTACAAAGTTAAAAGCTGCAGATCCAAGAATTCTGTGGCACCTTTGCACCAAGAAACACTTACTGCTTCCTTTTTTTTTAAAAAAAAAAATCTCTCGTTTCCTCTTTTCATTTCTTCCATAAATTGTCAGCTCCTGAATCTCACCCTTAAGTACTCAAATACACTGGATTTTAAAAACATGTATCTATGATTCTGAAATCTACTTCCAGGTCTTACAGTTAATTTTCCATTTTTTCAACTGAAAAAAAAGACATTTTTAGTCTTATCGTTAGAAATTGTTTAGTTTTTATTTACTCAAGATGATCTAGTCAATAGTCTGCAAGAATCTAAGCTCTTGTAGGGCTGGAATCATGTTTCATGTTTGTCTTATACAGGGATGGGATCCCAGTCATATTCTTATTAATTTATTAATCCAAATTGCTTTAATGTAACCGTCAACTTTGCATTTCTCAATTGCAAGAATTATTATTATGGGCCATCAACTGGCAACCCAGTTGATTCTGGGCACAAATACATGTACCGCCTTAAAAATAATATAGTTAAACAAAGAAAAAAGATTCGTGTAATTGTGCTATGATGACCCTGTACTATACACACTGTCAACATAGCTAGTGTTTGGATTCTAAGTAAGGAGATTCTTGTAATCCTTTTACTCCTGGCATACTCAGATTCAAAACAGCACGACACTGTTTTTCTCCAGTGTGGGCGATGAGAGTGACAGGTCTGCCCGCGAAGACGCTGGCGTCTGGCCCGCCCATGTCGCAGCCGCTGCAGGTCCACGGTTTTCTGGAGCCCGGGCCAGGGACCAGGCTGGAAAGGGAGACGCGCCCCCTGCGCCCCCAGGGGGTCTGGGCGGATCTGGCCGCCCAGCGCCCAGAGACACGCCCAGAAGCTGGGCTGTCAGGCCAGACGCGAATCACGTGCAGCGCCCAGTTCCGGGGTCACAGACGCGCGCGCACGTGCGCCGGGCGCCTGCCTGGGGTCTCCAGACTCTCGCGCCCACCGCCCGGAGCCCACCCCGGCGTCCACCCGGGGAAACCAGCCCAGAGCCGGCGCGGGTGGCGCACCCCTCGCGGTCGCCCCACGGCTTCTCGCCCAGCGCGGCGCCCCAGCCCGGCCCTGCGCGCGCTGGTTGGGGGAGCTTCCCCGCAGTCCCCGCCCCGAGCACCCCAGCACTGGAAGAATGGACTCCCGGGGCCGCCGCTCGCCACTTCCGTGCACTCACGTCCTCCAACCTGCCTGCCGCCGCCATTTCCCGACGCCGGAGGCCGAAGCCCCGGCCGGGAGGGCCCCTCCACCCGCGCCCGTGCGCAGACGGCGGAGGACGACAACCACCTTCAGGGACCTGCCGGCCCCGCCCCAGCCACACCCCCTGTGCACCGCCCCGTCGCCGGGGCGTCCGGGCCCCGCCTCCTCACTCCCGATTGGGCGAAGCGGAGGGAGGGGCGTGTCCCGCCCAGACCCGAAGACAGACGTTGTAGGCCGGAACTGACGCCCGCTCGCCTCGGTTCCTGGGGATTCCGGCAACTTCTCGTAGCGTCTGCTCCTTGCTGGAAATTTGGGCATTAAGGACACTGAAGGATGCGTTCCTAGTCGTTCAAAAATTTGATTATTTTCAGCCGCCACTTCCGTCTTTTTAAAACGTTACTTTTTTTGATCTTGCTTAGTTTTGGTTTGCAAGCGCAGCTCTGTGCATAGGTAGAACCGGCAGTAGACTCCTAGGAATCCCATTTACCGCCTGAAATGCTACCAGTAGACGGACATGAGCAGAATTAAGATTCTGCTTTCCATAACCTATTTACGATTTCACCTTTTGGAATTATTAAGGCTTTTTTTTTCTTTTTAAATGGAATTTTGAAAAAAAACTTTGAATGACCTCGTTATAAAAATGTAAGCAAATAAGGAAGTAAAATTTTCTGTTAATACCACCTCCCCCATTTCCAGAGATAACGCTGATACCAGCTGGGGTATATACACGTGCATAGTTTTTAATGCTTATTTGTACGTTACGTGTAGTGTGATTCTGTTTATGCTATTGGTGAAATCAAACCATTCAAATCTTAGCAAAGGAAAAGATGGGGTAAGATTGTATGTGGTCTTTAAAAGTCTCATAATCATGAGATTCTGTGAATTACTTCTGAAGAGCATATTCTAGACATGTATTTCCCATCAACATTTTATTTGGAAAAATTTCTGACCAACAGAAATATTGAAAGACTGATACAATGAACATCCATACACCCTTCACATTCACTAGTTGCGAATAGTATGCCGTATTTGCACTGTGTGTGTGTGTGTGTGTGTGTGTGTGTGTTCACATACATTTTAACTGAATCATTTGGAAGTAAGTTGAGGGTGAAACCAGACCAATGGGTCCGCGCCCAACGTGCAAGGAGCCAATCTCTCAGACGCTGGTTTTGAGAGGAAGAAAGAGTCTATCTCGCAGGCTAGCAAGCGGGAATTCAGAGGTATCGACCTCAGATTAAGTTCCTTATTTGAGGAAGCATTTATATTTCATAGGTGTGGGGGATTATACATATTCATATAGGGGTGGAGGATCAGGAAGGGATGGGATCAGGAAGTTCTATGTATTCATAGTTTCTATTGATTATTTATTAAGGGGCGGGGCTAAGACTTGGCACTGAAGCCTCAGCAGAGTCTTCGCTTTTGAAATGGGCTCCGCTACTGCAGGGGATGGATGTCCAGGGATTTTTGGTTCTTTGACGTGAGTCTTTTCGTTCCTTGGCATGAGTTCGCTTGTGGAATTGAGCATGCGTAGTGGCCCAGAGTTGTCTGTCAATCATCTTTGTCTGTTCTACGCATGTCTGACCCCTCTGAGCCGGTTAGATCTGGACCTGTCCGGGGCTCTCCGGAGAGTCTGCAGAACAACGTGGAGGAAGTGAGTGACCTGGTGGGGAGGTGACTGGGAGTGGCCTGATAACTGGTGGAGTACTAATTAATTAGGTGTCCTCCGCCTCTCGGGTCCCCTAACAACTCCCGCCTGTGGTTTGTACGATTGCCAATCATGGGAATAGGGGCGACGACCGCTCATGGCTGTTTCCTGCTGAAGGGGGCGCTGCTGGACAAAGGCCTTGGCATAAGTCCGGCTTTGAGATTTCTGCAGAGGCTGGAAGGGCATGTGCCCTTTGCTCTGGGGAGGAGTACAGAGGATTAAAAGGCCAGTAGCCGTTAACCTATTTTCAATAAAATGGGTGACAGCAAGAAGACACGGCCGACACTGAAGTTCTTCCAAGTGTCCATCACCCGTTACACTCACTAGTCAGGACAGTCCCCAGGTCTTGCCCAGGTCTGAGGGCAGAGGCACGGGCCCCTTGAAGGCACTGGGAGTAAAAGGTGTAATTAATTGTTAAGGAAGCACTGGAAGTGAGGGGAAAACAAAAGGCTGGGGTACTAGGAGACGACTGGGCTAAGGTTTGCAGCCCACAGCCAGGAAGAAGGGACCGAGGCGGTAGACCGATGAAGGGGAGGGGTAGGGTATGCCAGTGAAGCTGCTCACAAAGGTGGCACAGGGTTTACTCCAGCTAGAATCACTCCCTGGGTTCTGCTGACGTGTCTCACAAGAGGTTTTCACCATGCGCTATGGTGGAGGCCCATTTGATCATAGCATTATCAGCCCATTGACCTATGGCTGGGATGATGATCTCAAAAGGGCTATGGACCTCATCTTTGGGGCACAGGAGAGGAGAGAAGTACTCTGGCTCTTAATTGGAGCAGAGAAAATGGTTAAGTCCAGCGGGGAGGACACAGTAAAGCATACAAGCCCAGAAAACGACAACCAGTGTAGCAAATAGAGTCACGTCAAGACAATAGTCTGTTCCCTGAGAGCACATTGGGTCTAATGCACAGAAAATACCAGTAAATAAAAGCTAGGGCTACTTAGCTGCTAGCAACTTTCTTCTTTTTAAACAGGAATTTTAGTCCACCAACAGGTTCAATATCATACTCTGTCTTTCCAGGTTGATGTAACCAGCAAAGATTGGGGTGGTGGGCTCCTCTCGACTCA